TATTTGTTTATGTATTGGCTCTGAGCATGTAGTTTAAGTCCTTCTGGGGCTGGAATCTAACTAGCACAAACCTAGCAGAGAATCTGTGATTTTGAGTCAGAACACAGAGTTTCTGTAAGGATTTTTCTGTTTTATTTTCTCTTTCAGAAAGACTTGCACTAGCTAGTAAATCAGCTTTGTATTAGAAAATAGGATGCTACAAGGGAAGCACGGCAAGTGGGAGATACATGAACATCAGAGTTATATGTGCTGGAGGGAGAGAGACAGAGGGAGAAAAAGTTGAAGGCAGACATTTCTCCTGAGTTTTCTTCCCTGACAACTGGTGGGAATTTTGTGAGAAGGACAAAGTTAAGAGGACTTAGAAGTCAAGAGGGGCTGCTGAGCGCTCAGCACGTTTGCAAATCAGTTCACTTACTCAAGTGCTTAAATAGGGACTTTGACACCTAACTCACTGTACTGCATACACTAACTTGCTGGTACCTGCAGCATGCTGGACAAAACCAAGTTATCACCAGTCTTTGAACATCTCCGTGTTATGTCACTTTATTTCAGTGTGACAGCGTAAGGCTTTTGAAGCCTGAAGGATTCACCCTCCCCCTCTGCAAGGCATCCCACTTCACCACAATCTTATCTCCACTGTAGGAGCCCTACACAGCAGAACTGCCTCTGGACTCTGTCAGCTGTGCTTCATGTGTGCACAGGACAGGGCTGCTAGAAAAGTACCCCCGTTCAGGACTTCAGCCTTCACAGCCAGCCCCAGTCCCAGCCTCCCTGAGAGTTTGCATTGACCTCATGAGCATCATGTTTCATGTCTATTAATCATCTTCCATTATATTTTATTGTAACTAAACTAAAACGTTGTGTATCAGAAATCCTAGCATGCAGCATGTTTTGCAAACTATGAACCATGTCCGAGACATTCCCTCTGCTTGCCGTTGAAATGCACCACCTCCAAGGGTAGGGCACCTGCACACAGGAAGAGCAGGACAGGCATGAACTTTGTCAGAAATAAGAAAGGAGGTGTCGGTGGGCAAAATAAAAAGATTCAGCTTTTGTCTGTTCTAGACACAGGGGTGTGCACTCTTTTTCATGAGCTCTTTAATAATCCTGGGAGGTCAAGACCTCAGTTTTATATCCTGTCTACAAGCCAGCACCTCTACCAAAAATAGTGTCCCCAAAGCATATCGGGATATCACTTCAGAACTGACTCAGAGGGAAGAATGCCAGCAACTGATTTAGCTACACTGCTTTTGATAGCACCCTGGATTTTCCTTGGAGATGCCCCAGACATGTACTGACCAGCCGTAACCTTGTTTACTTTGTGAGGTCTGAGAAGCCCACAGCCTGACATGCCGTGGCTACCCAGTAGGAGGATATGTTTAGTGTAGAGTCTCGCAACAAATTCCCAGCGAAGTCAGTATGAATTCGCATGCCAATATTAAAAAATTATTTAACATAACAGAGCAACAAAGTACTTGCTGCATATTTGCCTAAATTGGCAGGCAAGGTCTTTTAAAGAGTGTGCTTTTCAATATTACCCTTTACTGGGTTGTCTATGTCTTCCCATGTCTTGATTTGAGACCAGTCCATGGGTTACTTTCATGCTGGGGAGTTCACCTTATGAACAGCCATCATCCAGACTCACTGCAGCTATGAACAGTCTGTAGCTTGAGTAATCCAAATGCCCTCAGTCCCTCTTGTTTTCACTCTCTAAAAAGTCATTGCTCCCTCAGCAGCCACCACGGCCAGGGAAGGAACAAGCCTGCCTATCCATAGCGGGCCCTCACGTTTAGTCTCTGCTGTCTTCCTGAGCGTGCTCTGTGTTGGCTTTACAAAGAGGTCATCTTTGTGTATGCCCGTTGTCATGTTTCTTTCCATGCTTGCTTTTGATAATATGATGATAGAAATATGTGATTTCCCACAGTTTTAACTAGCCTGGGGTTTGCTGCTGCTATCTAAAATTAATCTCATGAAATATTGTTGGTAGCAATTATGTGCCAGGTTTATTTAGTAAAGTTCCCAGAGGTCCACATGGCAAGGAGTCTCAAGTAATAGGCAGTTGTCTTCGTCATGCAAATTTGGGGAATGAATTAATCAAGCAAAAGGTCAGCTGTTACCATTATCTATCTTACCGATCAGTGCTGATCATCACAGTTTCTGTGAGCTATTGAACAAGTCCAGACTGTTTTGGTAACAGAAATGTGCTTTCTTCAGCCCCACAGGTGCAGATTTTCTTTCAAAATGCTACCCAGCTACTGAATCGTGCAGAGCCTAGTAAAATAGAGAAAGTAGATCATAAACGTTCATCTGAAAAACAGATAGACCCCTCTCCACCCCATCTGGTGTGGATGTTGCAGACCATGCTGTCAGTTCTACATTATTATCAGGCAAAGGGTGTGAGCTCCTTTCTTAAGTGTTGTCTGTCACCCCAGATACTGGGGAGACCCCTTCAGATAACAGAGACTTCATTCTTCCATCTCTAGAGAGGTTTGGGCTAACAATAAAAGGCCCAGAAGCAGAAGCGTTAGAGATGTACAAGTTTTGTGAATTGACAGCCAGCTGTTGGCGGAGCAAAACCTTCTCCCTCTCTACCCTTGTTAGGAAAATGTTCCACTCACTGTGTGCAGCTATCTGCAGGGCACTGGAGAATACCCTCTGCAAAAGGTGCCGGCAGAGGGGTGGCTGGGGTGCCAAGCCACTGCCAAGTGCACAGTCCCGTTCACTTGGCAGAGTCTGGGAGGCCGTGGCAGGCCGGAGCAGGGAGAGGGGCATGGGGAACGCTGTTCTCCTCTTGGCTTTGAGTCTGCATGGTGTGCTCTTGTGCAGAGAGCTGCTGGGAAGATCTCCTCCCTTGGAGGTCCTTCAAGCAGCCAGATAAACTGCACTGCCCAGGATGTGAAGAAAGATTTAGGATTTATGAACATTCGCTAGAGCCAAATCAAACACATTTGTTTTGTGCTGTGTTATTTGTCAAAATGACATCATTCTTCATGCTGATAAACAAGGGAATTCTGACTGCGCCCTGGACTGAAAATGCCACGCTTTGAGTTTTAAGATGTTAGCTGTGTGCAGTAAGGAGCTGTATGGAGCAAGTGGTGTGACTTTTAATCCTTCTAATGAGCCAGTGAAACCACAAGCACGCAAGCATACATGCAGTTGCTTACTGCTCCCGTATAAACACAGAAATGGTCCAGCTAATTATCCCTGAGACAGTTACACTAATTCCACAGGTAAGAGGTGCTTACCTCTTGGTAAGCCAAAAATGGCCAAAATGGCCAAAAATGGCCAAAAATGGCCAAGGCATTTTGAAAAGCTCGGGATCCTGCAACACCGAGACTGCTGGATGGGGTGGGTGCCAGACTTGGTTAGCGGCTGCTTTAGGAATGGAGGCAGGGGCTGAAGCTGTCCTTGCCGTGAGGCAGGCGGACAAGTGCTAGAAATGAAAGGAATTGCCGCCGCTCCAGGCATGGAGTGTGGGTGCGACGGAGGAAACACAGCTTCCTCACGCCCTTCGCCAGTCGCCAGGTACAGTCGAAACAAACTGCAGGGAAAGTCCTGCCAGCCCCAGCACATACTGGATGCCTACGGCAAGCTGTGGGCTACCCCGGCTCCTGTCATGGGTCTGGGCCAGACAGGCGGCTGCAAAGGGTAGGGAGGATGCTGCTGCCTTCCTGTAGCCCAGGAGAGGAGAAGAGGCTCTCCTCCACGCAGAGCACGTGTGTGAAAGCTGGGGTATAATAAAACAGCTCTCTCTGAACAGCAGCCTGTATGTTTTCTGCTATACTAAGCATTACAGTAGTGAAGGTAGTTAAAGTCAGCAGCATGAAAATTAACATTTAAAAAGATACTCTATATTCCTTAGCAAAGCACTGCTATCCAAAACACACTGTTTGGGCTTAGGTATAAGAGGAAGAAAAAAGATTATAATAAAAAATAGACTGCAGGCATAGAGTGAACAGTTGCCGTGACCTTGCCTTTTGTATGCCATTACACAATTCAATGGCAGTCCACTCAAACCTTGCTCTCGATCAATATCCTATTAAAGCAGCACAAAAAGTCTCTATAAACTTAGTGGTTAGCTATGTTTATAAATGGAACTCAGCATAATTAGATGGTCAATAGCAAGCTGTACTTGTAATTTTAAAATGAACATCACACATTTCATATCTGTTGTATTCGGCAAAACCTCTTTGAATCTAATGATACAGTGTGTAGGAAACAAAGGCCTTGCAAAAAAAAAAGAAAAAAAAAAACCAGCTCCCCTTTCCCCCTTTCCTCTCGGCAGCAGCAGCGCAGTGTGTTTCCGTTTGTTTATGGAGTCACAACACAGGAAAAAGTTTATTAGTCAAATGTCATGTTTCTCCCATTTAACCTTAAACACATTATCACTTTGCTGCAGTGTTACACATGTAATGATCTTAGTCACATCCCAGCCCCTTTGTAAAAATAAATACATAAAAATGGAAAAAAGAGAAACTAAATATTAACATGACTAAAAGAGACTGCCGTATTCCAAGGAAGACAAATGCCAGCCTGGCTGGTTTTATTTAGTGGGTTTCCTGTTCTGTAATTCAATAAATTTTTCAAAATAAATATTCCAATTGGGTTAAGTCAGAGGGCTTTTTGTTAATTTCTCTGTTATTTTTCTTGACATTTCGGGTGAAGATGTGAGCTAACAAGCTGGCAGCGGAGGGAGCAGGCTGGCAGCCGGGGCAATGCTGCCCCGTGTCCCTGGGACTAGCACAGTGCTGGCACTCAGGCAGAGGTGCCCACCTTCCTCCTCCTCCCTTTGGGCAAACTAGCTCCTCCTGCCCCTCAGAGCGAGCACAACGTGTTCCACCTGCACAGGGATTTTTTTGTGATGCCAGCAGCTGAAATGGGAGCTGAGGCCGGCATCAGTTTGTTTGCTTAGAAAGGCTGTGCACACCAGCAGGCTGGGTGTTAGGGGAAGAGGGGTCCTTCCTCCTCGCCCCCTGCCAGGTCGGAGCCCTGGGTTAGATGACATCTTGATGCCGGCATGTAGGTGGAGACTGTTGTTTTGACTCGTAACTGCAATTTCTGACAACCTTTCCTGTTTGGGAGATGTTCCTGAGCTATCAGAAGGTCACTTTGCTGCAGAGCATTTCTTATAGGGGGGAAATGATGTGTTTTTAATGTTGTTGCCTGGAGTTTCTGCAGGCTGCAGAGTGTAACAGCCGGCTGTGCTGGAGTGGGGCTTCCCAACCACGCTGCTGCTTCATGTGGGGCCAGAGCCTGTTCTGGGGTGTAGAAACAGGGATGTAGGGAAGTTGCGTGGTGATTGTCATATGCTACAATGAAGAGGGTTAATTTAGACAGTTTTGCCACAGTTTGCACCACATTGATCCCTTTGCTTACTCTCTGTAGCTGCAGCCTTTGCGGCGAATCCTGCAAATAAATGCAAGCTTTCTGGGTCCGTACAAGGTGGACAGTCTGCAAAGGCAGTGTGAAAAGCCATTTGGAGCATGCTCAGATGCCTCCTGGCTGGGCTAGCTGCACTGTGCCCGCTCTGGTGGTGCCTTGCACTGCAAAACACAAGAGCAACTAGAGGAGGCAGGTGCCAGGCAGCGAGCTCCAGGCAGCTGTAGCCCAGCCAGGAGGTGCAAGGTGTGGCTCCGCTCCACCGAGGCTGAAGCAGAGACAGAAAGCACACACAGCTTCAACCAAATTCCAGCCAGGAAGAGGAAGCGACCTTCTGCCATGCGGATGAAAAACATTAACCTCTTCCTGACAGTCTCAGGGTGGGCTCTGCACGTGGGCATGTTGCTGTGTTTTGTGATAGTAAGCGGGGTAGCTGCGAGCAAAGGTACAAATACCCTTTGCTGAAAGACGAGCACCAAATACGTGCCTCTCAGGCAGCCAGGAGAAGGGATTTAAGAACAGCTTAGCCCCATGCAACGTTTTCCACAGCACTTCTAGGGCCAGAGACCTTGAGCTCATTGGGGCAGGATCGTGGCTCCTGTGTAAGAACTGCTAAAGGGTTTCAGGTACTCAGCGCCATAGGCCAGCCAGGCTTTTTAACCTCTGCTGCTTAGATCTGTTGATGTGTATTAGAGGTGGGTTTTGTTGCAAACAGGCTCTTGAGTGTGGCAAGGTGGTTTGGCCTGTGACAAACAAAGCATCCTTCATGTTTGCTACCCAGGCGGAAATTACTGTGTGATTAGCCTTTTCTACTTTGTGCTGAGTTTACACAGTGTTAGCAAGACAGTGTTCCTACCCCACCCCCGGTCTGGAAGTACATTCCGTTTTCCTATAGGGCCAATTCAAGGGTTGAAGGAGAAACCTCCAGGATTTGGGGAGAGAGCCATAAGCAGAGGGAAGTGAGAGAAAGAAGAAAAGTGTTACCCAGATACCAGTTTTTCTTCCATATCTGTTTGGAATAAAACTGTTTCATAAATCTTGCAATGGCTAGGAAATTCATCGTGCCTCTGAAAAAAATGATGCTTTAATTTAGTGCTTGCGTTTTTATGTTCCTATTTGGAAAATAGTATGCTTAACCTGTAAGTTAGGCTTCTGTAGGTAGAGGGTGCAGAGGAATTGATCAGCAAAGGGTTTACAGAGCACAAATCTGTTTGGCAAGGAAGTTGCTGAAAACTGTGGAGTAGATGCTGCAGAGTACCTTTATGATTGATTTCCATTCAAGTCAGACTGACTGCAGTGTGGTCATTTTTCTAACCCATAACTGCTCACACTGCAGCAGTCTGCTATCTGCAGGGTGTCTGAATTATAGCAGTCCATGTCCGTGTTACCTTTTACACAAATTACTTACACTGGTTTCTTTTTCCATGCAAATTCATCAGTTTTACAGCCTCTTGTAGCTGCTGTCAGGAAACTGTTGCAGAAAGCACAAATTGATAAAACGAGTTAATTTTACTATGCTTAATTTTTCTTTCTTTCTGTTAACACACCCTCTCATATACCCAGTGTGCAGGAAGCATATGATAGTTAAGAGAAGATAACAAAGGATTTGAGTGTTCTTGTAATAAATTACTTCCTAACTTAATTCCTTTTAACGACCATTCCAGATTTTCTCAAGTTTTAATGGTGGTGTGTATTTTCCGTCCCATGCTTTTAAAAGTCTGTGGCTATCCAGGCTGTTCCCTTTCTGTCTCAATGACGTTCTTAAAAGATCCTTGCCAAACAACAACTAATTGTCTTGTGGGGATGATGAGGCAGCTGCAAAGCTACATTATTGCTCTGTCAAATCTGACATTGTGAGCTCCTTAAGACTTGGGGTGAAATACTGGCCCCATTACAGTCAATGGCAGCACTCCCAGAAGCCTGCGTTTCAGCCCAGACATGTTAGCTGGGTGATAGGAGCTATCCTGTCTTCATTTCCTCACTCCTGCCCCATCGGAGTGAAAGATTTTTTCATGTTTGAAAATGGGCCAGGTTCTCAGACCAAAGATTAAACTTGGCTCAGCATCCTTGTGTGGCATTGAGACTGCCTCGCCTTTGTTGCTGTGAATCAGGGCTCCCAGACAATACGTTCCAGGCCAAGCTTGTGCGTTTTATTGTGCAGTACGTCCTTTTTCAGATCTCTCTGAAATGTGAGAGAAAATCATGATTTGCAATTGTCAGCTCCTAAAGTTGTATTGTCCTGTAAATAGGACTGGAACAGCGATAGCGGATATGGTACTATTTGCCGTATAGTGACATTTCTTCATGAAATTGACTTTAACATTAAACTGCTCTGTTCCTTTTCTGTTCCCAGAAGAACACGGCACATGGAGTTCATAGGCTTGTGCCTGCAAACTTCAGGGTGTGTAGGAATTCATTATGTTTTAATATAAAACTAAGGCTCTAGGATAGGGAAATTAAAGGTATTCATATCCCTTACAATAAAACATAGGCGTTGGATAAGGTGATGAGAGGTGAACAGTGAAAGCTAACTGCTGGATAAAAGTTTTTGAGAGTCATATGTCTCTAGCTCTGATTTAGCTGGAGGAGAGGCCAGAGGAAAACTCAGATGTTCACAGGCAGCAAAGAACTCAGGTTTCTCATCTGCTTTTGTGCTTTCTCCAAGGAGCATTTGTAACCTCTGTGCTTGTGGATGTACATCACGTATATACCAAAGGTCCTGAGGTGTGTATTTCCCTGCCTATACTGCTTATAGATTATGCCAAGCGTACTACAGGGATGATGCAGCCTATTTGTAACTATGCCAATAGATGCAACGTTGTCCTAAAAGCAAAAGCAACAAGTTTCATTAAATGTTAGAATGATGCTAATAGGAAAGCAGTGCTTAAAGAAAGCCTTGCTATAATTGTTTAATTTTTTTTTTAAAAAGAATACCTTTGGGGGAGCGTAAAAAGGAGTCTATGTCATGGAACATTGTATTCTTGATAAAATATACATCTTCTTGATTGCAATGCCAGTTACCATTAGCATTTCCTAATATCCGCATCCCACCTGTTCTCGTCGTGAAACTAAATACACTCATGAGGAGCAAGAAGGTGATTTTGAAGTGCAATTCATGCCTTATTCACATGACTTACTGACTGCAATCTCTTTTGTTTCCCCAGCACCGATAGCTGCAGGAACAGGCCCTAATTTCTCCCTCTCAGATTTGGAAAGTTCTTCATACTACAGCATGAGCCCAGGAGCAATGAGGAGGTCTTTACCTAGCACATCCTCTACCAGGTAATTTAATCTCTGCTACTACCAGGTTACTTGGAAACCCAGGCCAGCATCATTACTCATCTGGGAAAGTAACCATTAAATTCTTTGACAAGCTGTTTGGGGGCCTCAAGATGTGGAGCTGTTTCAGATTCATAGAGCTGAATGTTCAGCTGGATTGCTGTTAGAGTTCTTTTTATATGTACAAGCTTCGAAGAAAAACTGCTGCATTGACTTGTATAACTTCTGGCTTGTACCTCAGTGTATCGGGAGAAGTTCCACTGGAATTGTTGGAGTTTCACTTGTGGCAGAAGAGAATTTGGAGCACATTGAGATATGCCACTTTGTTCTAGCAGGAAAGTCTTAAGATAGACTTATATGCATTCTTTATCATAAAAAGTGTTATCTGTGAGACTAACATCGTTTTAGGACCTTGGCCTACAATGCATTCTAGTTTTCATATAGCATTCAGAAATCTGTGACTCAGCCTTTGAAGAACTGAATTGTTAATGCAGATGACTATCCAGCCTGATTTTGATTTTGGCTTAGATGCCAACTATCAAACAAGGATATTTTTTATTTTTTACCTTTCACTTTAACCATCCATGAGATTAGATTTATAAACAAGCCCAGTCACTCTAGTAGTCTTGAACACTATTAGGGAACCAGATTGATTTTTTTTTTCCCCCCCCCCCCCCAGCCAAAATAGATCACTTATTTCAAAGACTTGACAAGAAAGTCTAACTTCAGCCCAGGGTTCTTTTACATTTTTATCTCAGTCTGCAATGCCATCAGCTTTGCAGTAAGCAAGTACACATGTAAAAAGTCTCTATAGTTTGAATATAGCTGTTGTTTTTATTTAAAAAAAAATCTTTAAAGAGAAGCTCGTAGCAATAACTTCTTACAGTTTGCAGTGATTGGAAGAACAATCTAAATCTTGCACTTAGTGTGCACATTATGAAGCTCGGTGACTACAGTTCCCATTACACATCAATTAAAAACTTTGTGCTCTTTCTTTTTTGCGTGTAAACTGCGTACCCTACAGTGCTCATCATTAGCACCATTCTCAGGTAGAATTACTTGTGACTCCAGAAGCAAAAAAGTGAGGTTATTAATGTTACTTAAGAGCTCAGTTGTTGCTCTTCTATTCTTCTGCAAATAGCTGCCACTGATAAGGAGCTAATTATAAACAGCATGGGTAGTTAATAACTTGGTAATATGTTTGTTTTCCTCTCATTAGGCTGTTCCCAGTCAGAAAAAAAAAAATATTCCTTAAATACACAGACTCAGCAGAATTATCAGGCGGTAGTTATATTGTATGCACACAATTTCCCCTATTGACACATAACAATTCTCTAAATTAAGGAATGGCCAAACCTGCATTCCACACATACCACAAGAATTATTCTTCCTGTTTCTCACAAACTGATTTTGCATACCCGCCAGCTCCTACCTGTGCAGAGCTTTGGGTGGGGAGCTGTGGAGAGGCTGCAAGTTTTAAACCAATAGAAATTGCAGTGGAATATTTTATGTCTGTTAAATATGTTCCCCCTACACAAAGGAGCCTGTTCTTCAATGCCTTAAGTCTTAACAGAATACAGATTTGGTGAAAAAAGTGAGCTGACCCAGCCTTGGAAAAGTACTTAGAAGAGAAATGCTCGGTAACGTCCCCGTGCAGTCTGTACAACTCATTATAGAAAACAGAGCCAAGCTGAGTGTCTTTGGGATCCTCTCCCTGCAGAACTACTGGAGTGTGAGTTAGTGGCCACCAGAGACCACTCACTGAAAGGGTTCTTCTGTCTCCTGAGCCTTTGGTGAGGGAGGTGTGATATATCACAAGGGAATCCTTTAGTACTGACACTGGCTGGAGGTACCTGTTGGGGGCTTTTTATGCTTGGGGGCTTACAGTTGCAGAGTAAAATGCTTATACTTGTAGGATAATGTGAACATTTGAACCAAGAATGAATTCTTCCATCATTCACTTGTCTATGCTTCTTCTTAGGGGACTGAAGTCTGGGTTAATTTAATGGCTACGGTTAAAAGATTGAAAATATAAGTTTGAACTGATAAACAATTTGTCTTTCAGAATAAGCTGTGGAAAAGTCTGACAGTTAAAATAAGTCTTGTGTGTCATTACCATATTCATTCAAATTGCAAAAATCATGCAATACAAATTAAAATTCTTGCCTTTTTATTGACCTCTGTGTGCTTTGTAAAATGTACTACTTTTTGATCTGTAAAAGCTTAAATGTTAAACTCTCTTCTAGTTAAACTAACGCATGTTTAGGAGTTCAGTCTGGACTCTGTGAGAGGTTGTTTTGTATCTGACTGAAGTTTAGTCATTGGCAATGAAGCATATCAGAAACAAAAAGTGGATGCCGAGAGGTTGGGTGGGCAAGATGGCTGCGCAGGCCTCATACCTTCCCCTTCTCAGGGCCCTAAATCTGTTACGGTTTCCATAACCAAGTTAGTCTCAAGCAGGGCTGGCAAGATGTGTCCCAACAGAAGTGCCTTTGTTCCTTTCCATACGTGTAGTATTTATTATGTGTTTTTACTTTCTCAGCTCTACAAAACGTCTCAAGTCTGTGGAGGATGAGATGGACAGTCCTGGTGAGGAGCCATTTTATACAAGCCAAGGGCGCTCTCCAGGAAGTGGCAGCCAGTCAAGTGGATGGCATGAAGTGGAGCCAGGTAAGCCACGGCTTTCGGGAGCCCAAGAACATGATCTCCAGTTGCTCTGTTTTGCTATCAGAATACACTGAATGCTGTATAGAAAGGTGATCAATTCTAAACATCTTCTAACTTCTTCTGAGAGAAGGTCAGTCTAATGAAAATATTGTAGTGGTTTTATTGCTCCTGCAGCTGTGAATGTTTCTGTAGTGTGTCACTTCTGTATTTTGGCCAAATATCTGAAGTATTTAAATAATGCAGCAAAAGACAGGCGATCTTTTTCTGTCAAAACGTCCAGATTCAATTCTGGGATAGTGGTGACAATCGCTTAGCAAAAAGCAGTACCTGTCTGGTCTGTGCCCTATAGTTATAGTGTTTAAATAAATATCCCTAAACTTATATAAGGTAGAAGGACTTTTCAAGCATTATACAATACTTGAGCTCACTTACTAATGACTTTTAAGAGACTTACAGAAGGAGTTGTTTTATTAATCTGTAATACTATGAAGTGTGATTGGAGGCTTCATATCAAAATAGATATCACTGGGCAGTACACTTCATAAAGTTTAGGAAGCAGCTCTTCTGCCTCTTCTCAGTTAATTTTTGTGTGTGATCTTTCTTGTTGATCATATCTTCTTGGGTTATGTTATGTTACGTTACGTACTTAACTGTCCATTGATCACTTATCCTGAGATCATCTGGGTGCTTAATACTATTGGAAATACTTTTCTGGGTCAGTGCTATATGCATAGGTGAAGTTAATGCCTCAATTTTGCTTACAGCTAAATAATCAAGTATTTATTGCCAATAAAAATAGCAGAAGTCTTACTTGCTAGACGAAGGCAAGGAGTGCTTTCATCTTCAGCCTCCCAGTGTTTGAGGAGGCCCTCTAAACAGCCCAAAGGATCTTTTGCAATATATATTTTTTTTCTTTCTTGTTTGTTTGGATTTAAAATGGTATGTTTTTTGTTTGTTTTGAAACAACACATGCTTGTCCAGGGCACTGTGTATAATGAACTCTACAGCACAGAAAAGTAAATTCAACCTGAACAGCATTAAAATCAGTTCTGTGGGCACTTGGCCAGCCACCTATATCCTTCATCATGTAGGAAACATACCCACAGCTTTCTCTGGAGACCCTGTCAAACAGCTGTCCTTTACAGCATGCCCAGAAAGCCACCAAATTTGGGCTATTCCAGACTGGGAGGGGACTGATTCCCGTGCCTGGGAGCCCTTGGAGGATCCCCTGCCAGCTGCCCTCTCTCCTCTAATGAGGAGGAGCCAGCTTGTGGGCCCTTATTGACTGCAGATGTGGCACTTTGGCAGGAGGAGAGGGTGGACCTGCAGGCAGACAAGTGCCAGGCTCCCCGTGACTGCCTTGCTGCCACCGTCTCCAGGGCTCTGGTGTTTTCAGTGAGGTGTCCTGCTCTGTAGACACTAGGGGCTGTCTCCTCCATCAGCTCCAGGCTCCAGATGATGTAAGGCAGAGCTTCACCTTGTACTAAACTAGTCCGCTCATGGAGCGGCAAAAACACGAACAAAAGCTCAGTGCCCGTTGAAAGGGAGAGATCACAACCTCCTCTGCAGACACAGATGGCCAAAAGCTGACTGGGTCACTGCTTCTACATCATTGTCAGACTGGGGGCTAACTCCCCCCAAAGTTTGAGGTACTCTTTGTTAATGACAAATGTTCTCCATTTGTGCAACAGCCAGAGGTTGGCTATTAATTTTGCTGTCACTTCTGGTGGTTTTCCCCACACGTGGTCGTCACCTCTGTCTCATCCAAGTCCTGGCTAGATGGTGGCACTGAGCTGCTCAGCTGGACAAAAGAAGTACCTAAAGCCTTACACCTCCAAAGCATCTCCGCCACTCTTGGCACCACTGGGTGCCCATCATGAAGAAGCACAGCTGCCCATGTCAAAACTTCCTGAGGTGCTTAGAGAGTCAAGAAAAAGTCAGGGAAGAAGGTTATTTCTTCCGCACAACCTTCCTCACTTACTACAGAAGAATCCCAGATTCTGCTTAGTCTTGCCTGTAAAATGGCAGAAAATCACCTTGCAACATCAGGGACTCAAGCCAGGTACCAACTAGATATAGCTCAGATTCACCAAGCTATCTATCACTGTCACAGCTGTGAAGAAAAAGCTTTATCCTGCCTGCGTGGGATGCACTTTCAAACTATCTTTATGCTATATCCATGCAGCCCCACCCCAATACTTCTGCCGTGGCTTTCCAGCAGCCTCTCCTCTGAATTCATTGCTTCAGCTTCTCTGTAAAACAGGGTCACTGCAGGAGTATGGCTGGCAGAGAGATTACTGCTACAGCTCATCAGTGGTGAAGGACAAAACAGCACTGAAGTGTCTTTTCATGCCAGGGTGACACTGGCACAAGGTGCTCCCCGCTGAGGGACACATCCTGCTGTGGTGCTGTGCACAGTCCCTGCCTTACCTCAGGAATCACACATGGGTCTGATATTAATGTCTGGCCCTTTGTATTTGACATGAGTGCTTTATCTCCATAAGTGTAAAATGTTTTATGAGTCTTCAGTGGGGCATCTGCCTAGAAAAGATATTGGGCATCTGAAAGCCATACAAATGATGTTAACATCCCATATTACCCAGTGACTGGCCACAGCATTCCTCTCTGAGAGGGGAGCTGTGGAGCCGGGGCCTGTTTCAAATCCATCCTTCCCAATGTCTCTCCTGTCCAGAAAAAGGCCTTGCCATTTATTTAATCTACAGTCAAAATGATGGCACAGTTTTAACATACAGTAATCTCTGAGCTTCGGTGTTTTGGTTTTTTCTCAGTGAAATTTGCAGTAGAAGTTTAAAGACTAAAACCATCTTTTTGTTTGACTTGGCATTTCTTCCATGTGGTTCATTTTATGCTGCATGGGATAATGCAGGTATCAGCGGTGCAGAATGATGCTGTTTCTGAAGGCAGACTGAAGTTTTATCCTGTGCTGGCAGAGCAGTGTAAGCCAGGTTTCCAAACTCCGTAATTAAACCCTGTCCTTTGGGTTACCAGCCAAACAACAGGAGGAGGAAATCAGACCAAGGAAAGGAAGCTTAGACTTGTCTGTGGGATGGCTGTTCTGGCTGGGAAGGAAAGTTCAGAGAGGAGCCAGCAGCCAACCTCCCAGCCCAGTAGGATCCACACCAAAGATAATAATATATCCTTTGGCTTTATTGCCTTTGAGTAGATTGCTTCCTCACAGGAGATTTAGATTTATGCAGAGATAGCTTCTTGGCCTATATGCTTTGACAGGTTTATGGGAGCGAGACGATGAATATTCTGTCTGTGTGTGTTGCATTTGCTTAATTCTGAGGTGTGCACGTGAGAAAAAGTGGGGACTCTAACGCACGAGCAGACGTGAAGCACCCATATGTTTATGCACAGGTAGAGACAGCGGGACGTGCTCATGGCACAGAGACTATGAGAGGGGTATAATAAAAGATGTTGCCTGGGACAGTGCAGGGAAATTAGGTCTGCATGAGAGGGTGGTTGGAGAAATGTTGCACTTGAAAGAGAGCATAATATAGAAGAGAAAGGGAAAATGAGAAGACAATTTTAGACCATACAGAAGGGAAAAAGTATATAGGGGAAAAAAAAAAAAAAAAAAAAAAAAAAAAAAAACGCCAAAAAAAAAAATTTTGACTTCCTAGAAAGGAAATATGAAATGGAATACGTGAACTCCTCTTAGAGAAAGAGAGCACTCCAGGCAGAGGGTTATTTACCGCCAGCCGTGACTAGTTGCTCTACATCTGTCTCCATTTTTTTCTCTTGAACAAATTCCCTTTTTGGATACTTTCTTCCTGCTTTGCTTCCCTGTGATTGCCCCTGTAAGTGGTCTTGCTCATGGCACAGAGACTATGAGAGGGGTATAATAAAAGATGTTGCCTGGGACAGTGCAGGGAAATTAGGTCTGCATGAGAGGGTGGTTGGAGAAATGTTGCACTTGAAAGAGAGCATAATATAGAAGAGAAAGGGAAAATGAGAAGACAATTTTAGAACAAACAAAAGGGAAAAAATATATAGGGGAAAAAAAAAAAAAAAAAAAAAAAAGAACAAATGCCATGAAAACAAAGATTTGACTTCCTAGAAAGGAAATATGAAATGGAATACGTGAACTCCTCTTAGAGAAAGAGAGCACTCCAGGCAGAGGGTTATTTACCGCCAGCCGTGACTAGTTGCTCTACATCTGTCTCCATTTTTTTCTCTTGAACAAATTCCCTTTTTGGATACTTTCTTCCTGCTTTGCTTCCCTGTGATTGCCCCTGTAAGTGGTCTTTGGAGGGCAGGCTGTATACTCAGAACATATGTGCAAACTGGCAGGAGAACAGAAGAGGACAAAACCACTCTGTGTGCTATTTAGATTAGGCAGTGGATGCTTCCCCTGTGCCTACTCTTGGGGTCTCCGCTGCGTGCAGAATACAGGCTGCACCTATTGTCCATCCACAGTCCTTCCTCTGCGCTTTTACATCACGGGCCCCTGGGGCTTGGAGCACCCTGACATCTACCTCACATGGAGACTTTGCTGGGTGTAGATCCTACATGCTTCACCCACCAGCAGCATGACCTTTCCATTCATGGCATTTCAGACCCATAGTAATGAGCAGAGGACTCAGCCTTGCATTTTTTACATCTAGATACTTCTTGGAAGCAAGGATGTAGCACTCTTCTTATATGTCAGACGTGATAGCCAAAGCAAAAACCAACATTAATTCCATGTTCCTTGTACTGTACTCCTTGAGTCTCACATCCATTTACCTGCACTCGAAAGCTCCTGGGGAGCTCTCAGGCCTAAAAAGGCTGAAGTCTGCCAGAAAAGATGAATTTCCTTTCACAACAGGAAGGCTTAGAAAGTAAAATAAAGCAGACATGTAGTAAATTACTTCTGCTTTTCAAATACCTTTTGCGGTATCCTCCTTACCATTACTTTATCTCAGCACTTTCAGTACATAACTCTTGTTAACTGAGAAGAAGGGCAAGAGAGGATAAAGATGATGTTAGTAAGAAAA